GGGTGGCAGGCAATGCTTTCTTTTCACAGAGCTGAGACATAGCAGACAACCGTCTTCAAAATCTGGAATGGAAAAAACCAGACACTTAGCTGCAGAAGAAAGCCCGGGGTCTTGGCTTTATAGCTTTTAATGTCTTTGGAATTGGGCTGGGCATCAAGTGCCTTTTCCAGAAGAGGCCAGAGAAGATCAGTCCCACTTGGTTTTTAAGGCCTTAGTCAGCCCAGTGGCCAGCAGATGCTGGAGGGACACATCGTGCTGGGAGTACACCAAGTTCTTCCCCATCCAGTCCTAAGTCTAGCCCCCCCACCCCGCCAAAATGAACATAACCAGATTTGCTTGTTTGGGGTCTGCTTGTTGATCCCATAGGTTCCTGGATCTCCACCCAGTTTAACTGTTAAAACACCACTCCCAGACAAGACCTCACAGTCTTCGAATGTGTAAGGTTTTTCCTCGAGGTCTTCAACAAACTCTCCTAAGGAGTCCAGGGTCTTCTCTGCCAGTCTTTTATGGGTGGTCTCATCCAGAGAGCGAGGGTCCCCCGAAGTTCCCGCTGTCCACACAGTCATCAGACACCTGCTTTTTGACATTCACAATGTGATGAAGGCCATGGAGGCTCAAACCAGCAGGCCTGGGTAGTGCAGTCCCCATGTGCGGGCCACCGTGGCTGTAAGGCGGACGTCCTCCATCACCCTGGGAGGTGCCCCGTGGTGCAGGAGGGGGTCAGCTGCGGGGCGCTGAGTGACCACATGCTGCTCACAATCTGCGGCCACTGCGCCCTCCCTCCAAGGTCAAAGACATGCGGAGAGTACGATGTAGAGGACTCGTGTTATCATGTGCGCTTCTTTTGTCACAAAGGACTTCTGCAAAGATGAGAAAGACACTGCCTCTGGGACAGAAAGCTGGAGGCCTGGGGACAGTAGTGGAAGGAAGAGCTGTTGTCACCCTTTTATACCATTTGTACCATTTTTATCATGAACAGATATTGTCTATAAGGATATTGTGTAAACAGTGGTGCCTGGGTGGCTCAGCTTGGTCCGGGTCATGAGATCGAGTCCCACTGGGGCTCTGAGCTCAGCACCAAGTCTGCTTAGGGTTCTCTCTCTCTCTCTCTCTCTCTCCCTCCCTCCCCTTTTGTCCCTCCCCCTGCTCACACCCTGTGCACACACATTCTCTCTCTCAAATAAATAAATAACTTAAAAAAAATGTTTTGTAATCAGTAAGCTAGAGCTTCAGCTCAGTTCTGGAAGAAGGTGAGGGGTGGGATTGAGTCTGGATAGAGGATTAATGACAGACACAATGTCCCTGATGCAGGTCAAGGTCTGTGCAGGCCTGCGGTGCACCCAACAGAGAGTTCAAGTGGTCCCATCATGGGGGAGAAGAAAAATGCCCAGGCTGGGCCACCCTTGGGTATTCACAGGGTGGCATGCACTCCTTATCTTTGGAAGAAGAGGGATTTCGGTGGTGGCCAGTGAGGAGACCAGTCCCAGGACAAGGCGGCAGAGGGTACACTAAGTCAGATGGGTACAGGATGCCTGGGAGGTTCTGATGAAGAGGTAGTGCCCGTGAAATTGTGTCAAAGGCAGGCCTTCAGCACAGAGCTTGTGTGGGGCTTAAACCCTGGAGTTCTGACGCATGAACTTCCAATTCCCTGGACATGACCTCAAGTTTTGGCCAAAGGAGAAGTGAAAGCCACAATTAGGAGGTTTTCTCTACTGCTGGTTTTGCATCTCTGGCAAGATGAGATGTCTCAGGAGGTCAGCTTGGGGGATGGTCCCCAGTGCATTCGACCTCTCTGCCTAGGCTCAGCAGGTCCCAGACACTCCAGTGCATTCCCAAATGTTATCTTATTTAATCTCCACAGAAATCCTGCAAGCTTGGTAAAATTATGCCCATTTGGGGGATGGGACAGAGGCTTATGGAGGGACAGTCATGTAGGTCCTTGATGCAAATTCCAGCATCCCCAAGACTTGAACTGCTATCCTCACTCCTTACAGTTGATGGGACACTATTATGAGCTGGATTGCCCTCCGCAAATTCATATGTTGAAATTGTAGCCCCCAACTCCTCAGAATGTGATGCTATTGGGAAATAGGATCATTGCAGAGGTAATTGATTAAGATGGGTCATTAAGGTGGGCTTCTAATCCAAAGGACTGGTGTCTTTATTGAAAGAGAGAAATTTGGAGACAGCCACATGCCCAGGGAGAACTCCATGGACAATGAAGGCAGAAGGCACAAAATGCCAACGATTGGCAGAGAGCCCCAGAAGCGAGGGGAGAGGACTGGAGTGGATCTCCCTCGCAGCCCTGAGAAGACTCAGTGCCCCCGATTCCTCGATCCCAGATGTCAAGGCCCTGGAACTGTGAGAAAATAAATTTCTGTTATTGAATCCTGCCAGCTTGTTCACCCTGTCACAGAGGCCCAGGAAACTGACATGGGCAGTCTGAGTCTGTTCTGTCTCCCAAACTACCCTGAAGTCCAAGCCCATGGGCCCCCTTCATGTAGATCTTCATCCTCCAGCTGCTGGGCAGAACCCAGACCTGAGCTGGCCAGGCTCCTGATTAAACTCTTTCCAGGAGGATGTCAACAAAGACCCTCTACTATCCCTTCTCCAGACCATCTGACAGGAGAGAGGAAAAGATTCTTGACTGTTCCCCTAAACAAAACTGAGACAAAGGGGCCCCCAGAAGAATGAGGATGTCCTAGAGATGTAGGCACTGTGACAAGCAAAGAAAAGGCAAGGACCACTCCCCTGATGTCTCATCTTCCAAAGGGAAGTGAAACTAGACTCAACTCTGGCCACAGGCCTAGGATCAAGGACATATTGGGGGCCGCAAGGAGAGGGCAATTCTCCCAAAGGTCAATTCCTGCCTGGAACAGCTGCTTGGAATTGAGCGCCTCAGTAACAGGGCCCCCGTGGGCCTCAGTTTACCCACCCTGAGCTGATGGATATCAAGTTTGGTCGGTGCTGAGGAGCCGCAGCATGGGCCACTCACCAGCCCTGAGATACACGGAGAGGACTTCCAGCGCCCCCCGGTAACCCCTCCCTCCTTCCTTACAGGTCAGAGTAGGGGAGAGGGAGGGAGGGTTGCATGAAGAGACAACCAGCCCCCACACACACACATGTGCACACATGCATGCCCATGTAAGCACACACGCACGGATACACACATGCGCACAGACACACTCATGTGCAAACATGCTCACATACCATTGCACATGTGGACATACATGTACACACACGGGCACATACATGCTTGCCTGCTCCAAGCCGTGAGAGCCTCCAGATGCCTGCCCGGGGCAGAGAGAAAACACTGAGTGGTGGAATATGAGATTCAGGTTTACAAGCACAGGACCAAGTCATAAATTAAACTGAACGCGATGGAAATATTTGAATCGGGACCAAGAGGTCACGAAAGGAGCCACCATCCAGGGGTAAAGGAAAATCTAACACAACATAGAGGTGATCAATGATGGGAAAATGAAAACTTTTCCTTGTTCATACTTCAACCAGGCTATCCAGGCCCTTCAAGAGGAGATTCTGTCCATGTTTATGCCTGGTCTTCGGCCACGCTCTTGTTCATTCCCGCCTCTCACCCTACAGCTCCTTGTGCTTTCCAGGATGTGCAGTGCTGCCTCAGGCTTCCGTGTCTTGGCTCATTCTGTTCCCTCTGTCCAGGATACCTTTCCTCTCTGTGACTACTTACCAAACTCCTACACATATTTCAAAACCCAGACCAAGTGCCTCTCCTGTCTTGATTGCTCCCTCTCTGGGCTCCCACGGGCCCTAGGATGTAAGGTGTCAAATCACCTTCGATGTCTTACCCCAGTGGAGTTTCATGTTGTTTTGTTGCAGAGGCGATAGGAGCCGATGGGATGCAGAAAAGGGTTGAGAGCCAGACCCCTCGCTGTCCGTCTTGCTATACGGATTGACTGCTGAGCCATGTGGATGTATTTCCTACGTGAAGAAAATTAAAGATACGATACAATACAATAAAAGGATTGGTCCAGCGGCTGTGTGCACTGTTCTACAATAAACAGGAGTGAAGTACTGACACATGAAATACCAGGGATTCCTCTCAAAGACGTAATGCTGTGTGAAAGAAGGCGGTCAGCACAGCTGGGATGCAGACTGCTCGGTTCCATTCGCACAAAGCTCTGGAACAGGCAAAATGAACGGACGGTCTCGGAAAGCAGGTCCATGGTTTTCAGGGGTAGGAGGTGGGATCAGAGATTGGCCGGGAAGAGGCACGAGGGAGATCCTTGGGGTGATGCAAGTGTTTTTATCTTGATGACGATGTGGGTACACGGATATACACATGTGTCAAAACTCATTGAACTGTACACTTAAAATGTCTGCATGTATTGCATATACATTATACCTTAATAAAGTTGATTTAAAACAATGTAGGCAAGAGAAAAAAAAAATGTGAAGCCATTGGGAGCCTAGAACTGCAGAATCCATTTGTTGTATGTGTGGCCTGGCTGGTGATGGTCTCCTGTGGTATCAGTGGGGACCGGCGGGATCCGGGGAAGCCAGAGCGCAGGCTCGGCAGGAAGCTGGTGGAAGGTCCGGTTGGAGAAATCAGAGTCAGGCTGTGCTGCCACGCTGGATGTTTACATTTCAATCCGTAGATAATGAATGGGGAGTGAGTGGAGGTGTGCCGCTAGACAGAGGCGTTGCAGGGAGGGTCCTCGGGCAGCACTGGGCAGCAGAGCTTGGAAGAGGAAGAAGCTGGAGGCGGTGGCCCCACTTCCGCTACCCTCCGGCCAGAAATAAACCTCAAACAATTTCACAAGCAAACTTCTCCCCATCTCCACTTGCTGAAAATTGGGCTGCCGCAAAGCCTTGAACCTTCCCCGCCCTCTCTCCCAACAGGCTCAGTTCCTCATCTGGCTGCTGGCCTTATAAGCACTTCAGCCCTGCTGTCACCTTCGGGGAGGGAGGCTCCTGCAGAGAGACTCTGACCAACCTCCGCCTGGGTCCTCGCTGAGGACAGGATGATGGCCAGATCGTACTTTGTGGTAGTGGCGCTACTGTTGCTGGCAGAGGTCTCTGGATTCGAAGAAGGGGCATCTAATCCTGGGTTCGTGGCCAGAATCACCAGGAAAGGCCTGGAATATGGTAAGGGTGGGGGAGGGTCAGCCATTTCTCTGGTGCCCACTATTGCCCACCAGAGTGGCGTAGACAAGGGTACTCTGGACAAGGGTCCACAAGCTGGGGTTCTTCCCCCACCTGGCTCAGAAACCTTGAATGTGTCTCCCTCTGGGCTTCAGTTTCCTGGTCTTGAGTATCACAAGTGAAGGATGGGACTAGACCCGCATTTTCCCGAGGGGGGTCAGTGGACCACCCCGGAATTGCTGTGACCTATGTTAAAATACAGATTCCAAATATCTGTCTCTGGGCAACTGAAGCTAGGCCTGGGAATCTGCATTGTGAACATATGGCCCGGGCAACTGAAAAACCTGAAGGTTTGACCATGCATCAGTAAGTCCTCAAAAGCCCCACTGTATTACATCATTGCTTCCACGATCTTGTTGAGTAGATAAATAACATTTACCTGGCACTTTGAGTTCACAATCTAATTTAATTCTCACACTCCGGTGGGTATCATCACTATGACCATTGTACAGATTGGGGGGAAGCGAGGATCAAGGAATTTAAGACACTTGCCTGGGAGCACAGGGAGAAGAAGTGGCAAGTCCTACATTCTGTCCCAGCCCGTGTGATTTCAGAGCCCGGCCACTCGACTGTGGGGCTTGGCTGCCTCCCATGGAAGGAGCTGACTCCCACTACTTCCCCTCAGCCCGCCGATTCGGAGTAGCCATCCTGAAGAAGGAGCTGTCTATGATCAAATTGCCTGATTTCTCCGGAAGCTTCAAAGTCGGCTGGATCAAAAGCGTGGCCTATGACTTTTACAGGTGAGGTCTCCATTCTCCACCGTAGGGGTAGGTGAGGAGGTAAAATGGGGGCCTAGGTTCTTGGGAGAGGGGGATAAACACAGAATCATCACTTGGATTAAAGGCAAAACAATCGTGACCAGCTCTTGTGGGGCTTCTGGAAGGTGCTGTATGTTTCTTGAATCATCAGGATGGGAGGGAGAGTCTTGAAAAACATTCACAGACTCTGAGGTCAGTCCTGCAGAAACTAGCCCTAGATTTTTTCTCTGCCAGAGACCTCTGGCTACTCTTCTGATTGCCTAGATGGGAGACCTCCTTGAGATATTCTATCCATTCCTCCGAAGCCTTTGGAGCCGTAATGGGTCTGTAATGAAGGACTTTAAGTTGTTCTGGAAACTGTTTGCATTTTATTTGCACACTACTTCTTGAAGATGGCATCCACAACTAACCCTAGTGAGGAATAAAACAGGCAGCCTCTGGGTCCAGGTGAACCAGCCCTGGTTCCTCGTCTCCCTCCCCATAAGGCTTAACTGACCTTGACCTCCCTGTAGCTGTTACACAGTCAATCTTAGAGTCTTCACACTTTACTCTTTCTTTAGCCATTCCTTGATTGCATGGATTTTTCTTCCCCAGGCCCCTAAGTGTCCATAATAGGTTCTTGGGGATCATTTATTCATCCCTGATAGAAAAGGCTGCCTCTTGAAATCCTCCCCAAGTCTCCCAGGATAATTTCCTGAAGGCAGTGAGCAAAAAGGAGGTACTTTAAATTTGCATGCGCGCACACACACACACACACACACACACACACACACACATACAATACTGAGGCCACGCCACTTAGAGGTCAAGGGCCTTTCCCACAGCCCTAGAGCACCCCTCGCATCTGGTTTTCACAATAGGCCACTATGGTTTGTTAACATGTCTAGATCTGCCACCAACTGCGAGCTCTTCAAAGGCAGGATCTCAGTGGATGTTTGTTGAGTGAATTCATGAGTGTTGCTGCAACAAGAGCCACAAACTCAAATGGCCACAAGGAGGGGGTGACATAGAGGAGTGTACCAGGCAGGAGGACTATCCCCATCACAGACCAGCCAAAAAAGCAGAATCCACACGAGGAACTTCAGTGGAGGGACTCTAATACAGGGAATTTTCTAGAAAGGTGTTAGAACAACCGAAAAGCCCAAGAGGGAACAGTGAAGCAGCCCAGGAATTAGCAACAACAGAAAGTCACTAACAACTCCAGAGCCGGAGAGCCTCACACGGAGGACTGGTATGCGCCTGGCTTTCCTGGGTTTGATATTCTGCCTTCCTTCCCCAGACTGAAGATCCATCACTTTGAGCTCAGGAACTCGGATCTGAGGCTACGCCCAAGGCAGGGGGTCAGAGCTTCCCTGTCCAATAACTACGTGTTTATCAGTGGGAACTGGAAGGTGAAAAAGGCTTTCGTGTGAGTAGTACTCAGGTTAGAATGTCTCTCAGACAACCAGTCTACAAAGGAACAAATCTGACCATCTCCAAGCCTCCAACCCCATCTGTAAAATTTGGATTAGTAATATCCCACTTCTGGGGCACCTGGGTGGCTCAGTGGGGTAAGCCTTTGCCTTCGACTCAGGTCATTATCCTGGAGTCCTAGGATCGAGCCCCACAACGGGCTCTCTGCTCAGCAGGGAGCCTGCTTCCCCCTCTCATTCTGCCTTGCCTCTGCCAACTTGTGATCTCTGTCTGTCAAATAAATAAATAAAATCCTTAAATAATAATAATAATAATAATAATAGCCTACCTCACTGATAAAGCTGTGGATTAAGTAAAATAACAGACGGAATGCACTTAGCAGTTTGCCTTTCTGGCACACAGCAGGTGCTTAATAAATGCTGGCTGCAAAGTAGAGGCTCAGGGTACACAGCTAGGTAGTAAGGACCTGGGGACTGGTCTTTCGGCTCCTCTTCCTGGAGGTGACTGATCATACACCATTTGCTTCCTGTAACTCCCGACCAGCACCCTAGATGGGACTTTCGATGTGAGTGTGGATGACATTTCCATCTCAGTTTCTCTGAACTTGGGCAAGGACCCGTCCGGACGGCCCACTGCCTCCGTGGCCCACTGCCGCAACTCCATCGGCCACATGAGTGTTGACATTTCCGGACAACTAAGGTAAGTGAGTCCATGCCCTTGCTGGCGGTTGTCCGAGACGCCTCGGCATCCGGTCCACCCAGGGACGCTCCTGATGGGGCATAGAGAACGATTTCAGGCGCATCAGGATCAGAGGCTGGCAAACTAAGAGCCTGCGGGCCAATCCAGTCTGCACTATGTTTTTGTAAATAAAGTCATCAGAGCACAGCCACGCTCATCTGCTCACATCTGGTCTGCGGCTGCTTTAGGGTTACAACAACAGAGTAGCTGTAACAGAGACCATGTGGCCTGCGGTGCCCAAAATATTGACTGTCCGGCCCTTTAAGAAAAAGTCTGCTGGGGCACCTGGGTGGCTCAGTCTGCTGAGCATCAGGCTCTTGTTTTCCACTCAGGTCATGATCTCAGGGCTGTGGGACTGAGCCCCATAGGGAGCCCCATGAGGCTCAGCGCAGAGTCTGCGGGAGAGACTTTCTCTCTCTCTCCCTCGGCCCCCTCCCCCTACTCACACTCTCCTTAAATAAATAAAATCTGAAGGAAAGAAAGAGAGAGAAAGAGGGAGAAGGGAGGGAGGAAGGAAAGGAGGGAGGGAGACAATCTGCTGACACCTGGGCGAGTGGTCTTTAATGGCAATCCAGCATTCTGAAGTGACTTGCTGGGAGGAGATACTCAGTGAATAGCGAAGGAATAAGGCCAGTCCCCAGAGTGACTGCCTTCCCACTCTGTCTGGGTTGGCACTGCCTCCCTCAGATCCTGGCAGGACCCAGAGGCAGCTCAAAAGGCCTCGCTGACAAGGATCTGATGACAAGAATCCTCCCAGGAGTGTGGGCGGGGTTAAGGGGTGTGTTCAGCAGGGGATGTTAAAGAGCCTGGAGGGACAGTAGGGAGCTATTACTGCCCCTAGGGCTGAAGGTGAAAGGGGACAGAAGAGTGTCACCAGAGCCCAGAAAGAGCCAGAATCTTGGAGAAGGGGCATGGGGCAGGTGTGTAGTGCACAGCAGGGGCACACGTGGGCATAAGTGCCCCAGCTCCTCTCTCTGCTTAATGCCTGTGCCCCCCATTAGCCAGACAGCAAAAGAGCTTGAGAGAGGAATCTACACATGTCAGCCACCCAGGACACAGAGAGGAGACAGAGGGCACGGGTGACTGGCAGTGGGGGGCGGTAAGTGGCAAACAGAACAAATGGCCAATTGCCCCTTTGCTGGACATGTATTGGCTGGGTGACCATGTTGGGGTGGACAAATGTCAGCAGAAAAGTGGGGTCCTCTAACCCTCTCAGTTTTAGGGGAATTTATATTTTAGAGAACCCAGAGACTTCGCTGTGCATTCACTCAACGGATAGATGTTTTCTGCACAAATACTAAAGCCTTTGAACTCAAGGCTGCCATTTGGAAAAGGAAACTGTGAGTGGAGACTGAATAGCTTGAAACCACTGTGTTGTTTGAACGGGGTGGGCATAATACCCCATTTCTCAGGAGCAAAGCTGTGAAATTCTGTGTGGTTTACATGCACACACACACACACACAGTGGGGGTGGACACAGTGGGGGCCAGAAAAACATTTTTGTTCATTTGTTAGGGTGGTGATAGCTGCACAGTTGGGTGCTATTGATAGGGACACAGAACCATGAGCACCCAGGGTTTGACCAAAATGGGGAGCTGCTAGATTTCCTCAGTCATTCAGTTAACAAATATTTACTGATGCTCTATTATTCGTCAGATCCTGAGCTAAATGTTAGGAATATAAGATGATGCAAAAGAGACAGGGTCTCCACCCTGGTGCAATGTATAGTCTAGTGGGGGAAGGAGACATAAAGTATTTTAACATATATTGAATATTGTGATAACATGTTTAAAAGGAGAGAGTCCAGATGCTATGAATGTAGAGGGTTTGGCTAACATCTGGAGCAGAGACAGTTTCTTCAAGGAAAGGATATCTGAAATGAGACTTGAATTTTATTATATGTGCTGTCGAAGCGAGTACGAGCCTTGAATTTTAGCCAAAGAGGAGGGGAGAACTTCTCTGGTGGAGGAAGAAGCATGTGCAAAGATCCTGAGGCATGAAAAGCCTGAGCTTCCCAGGAAGCAAGCAGGGATCAGTGTACCTGAAGGGGTGGTGATTGATTAGAAAAAGTGAAGTGAATAAGCAGTAGCCAAACTCTAGTCTCTATCCTGAAGTAAGGCAGTGGGAAGCCACTGGAGGATTTTAAGAAAGGCAGGGATATAATCAGATTGGCCCTTTTGAAAGGTCACTTCCTGGGGCACCTGGGTGGCTCAGTTGGTTAAGGGACTGCCTTCAGCTCAGGTCGTGATCCCAGAGTTCTCGGAAGTACCTGTGGCAGATTTACGAGATTGGACCGAATTTGGGTGACAAGAGGAGGAATGGGGCCAGGATGACTTAAGGTAGCCTGTGATCCTTGGAAATTTTCTTACTGCTTCAATCTGTCCTACTTCAACCTCATGTTGGAGGGGTAGCCAGAGATGTTGGAGAGGACAGACTTTTCTAGAAGTAACACCCTCACCCACAGCTATCAGGGACTCCAGCCAGCTTCTCTACACCTGGGGTCATTCAGACCCACAGAGGGCCCAACGTTCAGCCGGTCTATGTCCTGGGCTGGCTCAGGGGACAGAATCCTGGAAAGGTCAAGATGCTTTCTGCAGAACACCCAGAAAATACTTGTGTCCAATTTTACTGCATGAATTGATAGTATACATACAGTTATAATACACACCACTCAATCAGCAAGTATGCAACAGTAAGGGAAAATTTGTGGGAGAAGAACATTTTATCAGACATAATTCCACTAACTTAGTTCACTTATGTCCCACAATCTCTTACCTTCACTCCAGCTGAGAACACGGCATGCAATGTCTGTTCTGGGCCATGATTCTCACGGAGCACTATCTGTGGTGGGGAAGGGTCTCTGGGGGCAGCTTTACCTGAAGTGGGTTAGACTCAAATCACGTGCTCCATGAATGTATTCACCAGTGTCCCTCAACAGCTAACTCAGGGCTGAGCTGGTAGGAGGAGCTCTGTCAAAGTTTGTTGAATGAATGAGTGAGTGACTACTTGCTAAACTGCCAGGTAAGTGGTTCTGTGGATTTTTTAGGGTATAAAGAATAGGCCTGAATGCCCCCCTTCTTTCTCTTTTATTGAGGTACAAATGACATAGTACTTTCAGGTATACGACACAATGATGCGATCCTTGTCGATACTGTGAAATGATCAACCACAAGAAGTTCGTTAACATCTGTCACTGTGCATAGTTACAAAATTTTTTTATTGTGATGAAAACTTTTTAAGATCTACTCTTAGCAACTTTCAAATATGCAACCCAGTATTATGAACTCTAGTCCCTTGTTTGTGTATCACATCCCCAGAACCTAGTTATGTATAACTGGAAAATTTTTTATTATAACTTATTTATACCTGGAAGTTTGTACCTTTTGACCTCCTTCACCCATTTCAGCCTCTGCCCTGAAGACATCAGTGTGTTCTCTGTATCTGTGAGCTTGGCCGTTGTTGGTTTTTTTTGGATTCCATGTATAAGTGAGATCGTGTGGTATCTGTCTTTCTCTGTCTGACTTAATTCATTTAATGTAATAGTCCTAAGGTCCATCCATGTTGTTGCAAATGGTAAGATATCCTTTTCTATGGCTAGCTAATATTCCTGTGTATCTGTGTGTGTGTGTGTGTATGTGTGCACGTACACCACATTTTCTTTATCCTTTCATCCACTGATGAACACTTAGGTTGTTTCCATATCTTGGCTATAATAAATAAGATTGCAATGAACAAGGGGGTGCAAATATCTTTTCAAATTAGCATTTTGTTTTCTTCAGATAAATACCCAGAAGTAGAACTGGTGGATCATACGGTAGTTTTATCTTTAACTTCTTGAGGACCCTCCACACTGTTTTCCATACTAGTTGCACCAACTGACATTCTCACTAACAGTATATGAGAGCTCCCCATCTAGTTGGGTCCCTTCTTGGGATAACATGGGGGAAGGTCAGATCCATGGGTAGCCCTCCCTTTGGGAGTCCTAGTTAATCATAAAGTGGATCCTGACCCTCTTTCCTCTTTTTTCCTAGCTGGATCCTGAACCTCTTCCATGAAAGAATTGAAAACAATTTCAAAAATATCTTGGAACAAAAGGTAAAAAAAAGGATGAGTAGATTTGTGGTTAACACGAGGATCACCAGCAGGTACATATTTGGTATTTAGAAACAGCCTTGTCTCGTAAGTGCACCATCATTTGAATTTGCTTAGCAAAACTTTCTTCATTCGTGGTGCCAAGGCAAACTTCAAGGCTTTCTCAAGTTTGTATGACCACAGATGCTAACCTGGCACTTGGAACTGGCAGAGTGTCTGTATCTAGTTGTAGAGGCTGTTACAGAGATAGGGAGAAGTGACCTTACATCCTTCCTTCACACCATACACAAAATCAAGTCCAGGTGGTCTAAGGATTTAAATGCCAAAACAAATCCAAAACTTTTTAGGAGAAAATCTAGGATATCTTTCTCACTTTGAGGAGAGGAAAATATTTCTTAAACAAGACTCACCCCCGGGGTGCCTGGGTGGCTCAGTGGGTTAAGCCTCTGCCTTCAGCTCAGGTCATGATCCCAGGGTGCTGGGATTGAGCCCCGCATTGGGCTCTCTGCTCAGCGGGGAGCCTGCTTCCCCTCTCTCTCTGCCTGCCTCTCTGCCTTCTTGTGATCTCTCTCTCTCTGTGTCAAATAAAAAGAAAAAAAAAAAAAAAGACTCACCCCCCCCCCAAATGCACCATATTGAGAACAATAGTGGGGCTGGCTTCAGTACCTCTTACCTCTGGAAAAAGCCTTGGAGGCAAAGAGTGCCTCTTCCATTTACCTGGTGTGTATCTTTGGGCACGGACCCCCTAAAGCCTCATTCTACTCATTTATAAAATGCAGACAAGGACCCCTACCCTGAAGGGGGCTGGTAAGGATTTGATTCAATAACCACCTAGCACGCCTGGCACACGGGCTGTGCTCAGAGCACTCAACAGTATTGCAGAGTCATTTCTCAACCACATTCCACCTTCTGGAATCTTTGCTCCTGAGTGTATGGGTTCTGCGGTCAGACCCTTGGGTTTGAATCCCAGCTCGGCCCCTTTGCTGCTCTGATGCCGTGGTTAACGGGCTTACCCTCTCTGAACCTTGGGATTCTTGTCTGTGAAACAGGAATAATGACAGCATCTACCCTGCAGGGCTGTTGGGAGGGCTGTGTGATGTCATACACACAGGCACCGACAAGTGCCTCGTGCAGAGGAAGGACAGAGTAAATCGCGAGAGGTTAGTTTCATTGTCATTTATGCCCCAGTAGCCCTGGGCAGCAGGCTGAGGCCAGAGGCAAGCTGTGCTCTCTGCTCTACAAATATAGGAAACACGGTCCAGAAAACTCTAGATACCATGTATCCAGGGGGGATAGGGTGGGTGCCAGAGAGGGTGAGCCCGAGGAGTGGTTAGTTTCAGGGGATGGGGCACTAACTTGGGCCCCCATGGGACTGAGAGTGCAGAGAGCTATGAAGAGAGAGAAGACCTCTGACCAGGGGACTTGGGGTAGACGAAATCAGGCCCCCAAAGGACTGGCCGCCCGGGTGGTCCTTCCCTTACCCTGTGCCCTAGGAGAGCCCAGGTCAGGCCCACCTGACACAGGCTGGCTCGGTGTTTGCACAAAATATTGGTACCCCTAGTGGGGAAGCTTCCCCCACACAAAGCGTTGATTTTAAGTGATGTGGAGCTTCAGTGCTGTGCCATGCAGAATGATGGAATGAACGACCCTTCCCCTTTGCAGTCCTTTTTCTTTCTTTTTTACACTAAAGGGAAATTCTCAGTTTGGGGCCAATGTATCCTGAACACTTTTAACAAAAAACGGGCATTTTCCAACTAGGCAACCCGATCTAGCCTAGCTTCCGGAACGTTTTCCCAGCCCCTTGTATTCTTTTTTCCCCAGTTCTGTCGTGTTTATGCCAAGGGATGCCAGTCTTCCGTTGACAAGTGATATAAAATTCCTATATTTTTTAAAAGGCCACTTGATGTAAAGTAAATAGTAAGTGAGTAGGTGGGAAAGGCAAAGTCATAGAGATGGTGTAGGAATAGCTGAAGTTAGGAAATTAGAAGGAGGGGGACTTCTGGAATCTCCCAAGCCCAAACTCCTGAGGAATGGGAATTCTCCGGAAAACTGTTCTTCTGGCTTTGCTTTGGGGCCCTCTGGTGGCTCTAGTGAGTACTGCATGCAGACCAGGCACCGCGCCTATTAGGATCTCTAATTCCCAGATATCCAGGAGCCTGGACAGAAAGAGAAGGGCCTGAGTCTTGAGGTGATGGAGACCCAAGAGCTGCTCCTACACCTGGAAGCTCTCCTGCTTTGCCCCTCGGCTCTCTAATAAATGCGTTTATGTGCTATACTTCTCGCCACTTAGCTGCCAAGGCATTGAACTGAGGACCATGACAATAGCAGACCCCAGAGCGGTGCCAACTTGGGCACCACTCACTTTTAATGTGGGTTCCAGAAAAGTCCAGGCACTTAAGCCGGGCCCATGTATGTGGCCAGCCCAATGGGACAGTGACCAAGTACTGTGTGTTGACAGAAATAGCAGTCTCTTCTCCCTTTCCACACGCTCCTCCACCCCTCACACACCCGCCTACAAGGTAGGGAGAAAAGCCAGGTCTCCTGGAGGGCGGTGGGGGAGGGGCAGCATCCAGGAGAGAGAAAGAGGGGAACTCACCTGACTTTCTCCCCCACTGTCGGCAGATCTGCGAAATGGTCAGGAAGTCAACCACCTCCTACCTGGAGCCCTATCTCCGGACTCTACCAGGTTTGGAGGCCCCCTCTCTTCTCTGGGTGCCATCAGATGCCGTGACATCTGCTACTCCCAGACCCATCATCACCATCATCTCCCATGAGCCCCAGGAGAACTTTCCCCATTGAGTGCCTCTCCATCCTACGAAGCTGGATACGGGGTGACCATCTCTCTTAGGGGTCTGTTCTAGAGGTAGGGAAGTAAGGCGACTGAGCATCGTGACTCGGAAGCATGCTGGGAGCACGAGGTGGGCAGAGGATGACAAGTACATGGGAGAGGCATGTGTTGGATCCGTCCTGGCCACTTTAACAAAACAGGGATGCTCTGAGATCCCTGTGTAGGGGCGGGGATCCCCCCAGTCCTGACCCCCTGGCTGCCACAGGGACCTTTTACAATCACACATCAGGTCGGGTCTCCCCTGTTCTTGGAACCCATGGAAGACTCCTCTGACTCTTAGGACACTGAGCCCCCCTTCGAGTGACAGGACCTTGCATGGTCTGGCAATGTGACTGGCTACACAGTCCCTATATGCCTCCAATATTGCTAATTCCTCTAATACACTCTCAGTGTCTCTACTATGCTCCTACTGCTACAAGATCTTTACACATGTCATTCACCTCCACCCTCCTTCACCCAGTCAACACCCACTCCTCCTTCAGATCACAGCCCAAGAAACACTTCCTCTGACTCCCTGTCCAAATCAGGTTGCAACCCACCCCCCTCACCATTTTACCCTCTGTTATATGACTGATGTCATCCTAGGGACTCAGGCTACCTGACGGAGTTGCAATCTTACCTTTATTTGCTCAAGTATTTAATTGTCTTTCCCTTTCCTCCCCCCAACCCTGGACTGCCAAAGGAGAGAGACTCTGACTCTCTCACTCAGCTGTCTCATCAGCCCCTTGCATTGTGCCTGGCATATAGCAGATGTTCAATAAATACTGAACGAATGAGTGAATGAATACAGCACTCTCTTTGTGACAGAAAGCACCAGGGATCAGCCCCAGCCCCATTTCCATTCTCCAAAAGCAAAAGTCCATGTGAAAGGAGAGCCTTGCAATTGTGCAGTGCACAACTCACACAACTGTGTTTGACTACCTTATTCATAACACTGTCTCTTTCCTGGTCCACAGTTATCCTTATGATTGACCAGATTGCTGGCATTGACTACAGTTTAGTAGGTGCTCCCCAAGTGAATTCTCAAGTCCTAGACACACCCTTCAAGGTAAGTTGCCATGGAGAAAGGACCATAGAGCTAAGAACTGACAGAAAATCAGTACTACCTCCCAGAGTTGGGAGGTACTACCCTCCTTCTCTAGTCCATCTGCCCATAAGTTCCCATCCCTGGCCAGTGCCCACAGCAGCAATAGGAAACTAGTGTGCCCCCTCTTTATTCCAGTCTCTTCCACAGTTCCCTGGGGGCTGAGCCAGGTCCAGCAGTGCCATCTTCCTCCAATTTTATTTACTTAATGACCACTTATATGCATCTTAATGTGCCAGAAACTGAGTATTTGTACAAATGTTCCCTTATATGTCATGCCACCTCTATGAAATAGAAGCCATCAGCATCACCCACGCTCTGCAGATAAAGAGTTTGAGGCACAAGCTAGGGAACCACCCAAAGTCCCAGAGCTAGTAAGTGACAGTTAACCTCTAGAGTCCATACTTCTCACCACCAGGCCACATCCTAAGCCCAGGAGAACACAAGGTGTACCTCCCCAATAGGAAGCTGTAATGTAAAACGGGGATTTCAGGCAGCCGCCAGTGTCTAAATGTTGTGGGGCCAGAAGGAACATTTCAGGACCCCAGGTCCACATTCTGGAGAGGAACCACTACCCAGACCACCACACAGGGCACAGGAGGCTTCCCCGGTCTTCCCCTGGACACCTTTTCCTGGCACCCTCCCTGGTAGAAACCTTGGGTGGGCAATGTGTCCTTCTGTCTCCAGGGTAAATTCTTTGGCCAAAACTGGCACTCCCCAGCCCTCTTCGATGCTCCGTCCATCAGGCTGCCGAAGAAACATGACCACATGGTCTACTTTGCTATCTCTGAATATGTCCTCAACACAGCCAGCTGGGTTTACCACCAAGCTGGACGCATGAACTTCACCATCCAAAACCGTCATGTGAGTAGGGGAAGGAGAAGGCTGGTGGGGTGGGGTGGAGGGGGGAGGGATCCCAGGAGAGAGCGTCAGACCGAACTGTAGACCAAGCTTGGGGGTTTCCAGGAACCAGGGAAAGAATGCATAATCTGAAGCCTGCCAAATATGGGTTCAAATCCAGGCTATGCACGTGGATCCCAACAGTGTCTAGTCCCCAGAGATCGTGTTAGAGATTGTCTGTTAAGAGTTTAGCTTCTGATGCATGATACACAGTAGCTATTGTTGGGAATACTTCAACAAAAATACAACAGACTGGGAAGTGACACATCAGGTCCTCCAAGCAGTAGATGCCAAGGCAGTACTAGACTTGGAAGAGTGGAAGAGATGGATTAGGGGAGCGCCCACGAATGATAAAGGAGAGAGGAAGGAGAAGTATGAGGGGAGAGAGCTACCCAACCCCCCCCCGCCCCCCCAGCTGCACTGGTCCTGCAACCATGGAGGAGAGGGGAAGACAGGTACCCTGGCCAGAAGTGCTGCCCTGAGAAGACTCAGCTCAGCTGAGGGAGAGCACAGAACAGAGCCTGCTTCTCAGAAGAGTGCCAGAGCAGCCAGAAATTGGGCGAGCCTGGCTCCAGGCTAACATCCCCTGAGGGATCATTCCAGCCTGACCGCAGGCAATTAGGAAGGCTTGACCTGGTGGGGCCTCCCACACTGGACGTGGTGTCAGGACAGTGCTCCTCAGTCTCTGGAGGGAGCTGTGGGCAAGGACTCAAGCCTCCACCCCATCCCCTCCCCTGGCAGGGGCTGGTGGTGCTCTTAGGCTTATCTGCATTCCAAGCCTAGACACCCCATTCCGAGGTCTCCTTACGGGTGGAGGGAGTGGGGGACCCTCAGATGAGTCTGTTTCAGGTTCTTCTGCTGAGACCCCCTTGCTGGGGCCTGGAGGACAGCTTTCTCCTATCTGACTCAGTCTCGGTGCTTTTCTACTGGCCCTCCTCCCCCTGGATCCATAAAACAGCAGGAGCCTTTTCTTTGGGGCTCCCCTGGCAATAAGATGACCCCCTCCTCCCTTCTGCTGATGCATCTGACCTCACAGGTGCCGGGCCACGGGGCCAGTACCAGAGTGGGGGCCAGTACCCTTTCCTGTTAAGCCTCTTGCCTACACTATCACACGAAGTGCACGAGAGCTGGTTACTTTCCGTTTGGCTCATTGTCTTGATCCTGCCTGTGATGTGACAAAACTCCCCAGTGCAACACCCAGCTGTGCTCGGTCAGGGGCTGCGGGCTGTCTGGGAGAGCACGGCCCCAGCATGAATGGCTGTCAGCCAACTGTCCTTCTCGCTGGGAAGCCCCTGAAGGGAGACCTGAGCCGTGCACCCCCACAGCCAAGCGCTACAGGAGCAGCCCGGGTCAAGAGGGAATCTTGACGGAGGAGGAGAGATCAAGGAAGGTGAGCTGTGTGCAGGTGCAGGTAGGGCTGGCCAAGCCGGAAGATCCGCAAGTCAGAGGGGCGGGTAGAGAGCAGCACCAGGAGAGAGGGTTAGAAAAGGTTTGGGGGGCAGCCATAGCTGGAAGTAGATTCAATCTAGGTTGTGGAGGTTATGCGCTCTCACCGGCCCTTGAGGGGGTCATCCTGAGAAATAATAAGTAACAAAAACAGACAGTAACTAAGAATTTACTGAGATCCCAGGCACTGCGCTTAGTGCTCTACCCAGGCACGGTCTCATTCAATCCTTGCCCATTCTGCATGGTTCGTGCTGTGATTATCATCTTCATTTTATAGAAGCAGAACCTAACAAAGCTTGCCAACAACCAGCCAGCTAAAAAATGGTGGGAGTAGTATTTGAACCCAAGCTGTCTGACCTCAAAGTCCGCATCTCTAACCGTTACCATGTCCTGCGTCTCAAGGAGCCTCCTGCTTCTCCTACTGCAGATTCCCCCGGACTCTCCGATCCGCCTGCACACCAGCTCATTCCGGGCCATTGCTCCTCGGGTAAGACCTCTAAACCTTCATCACAGAGAACTTGACCTAGACCAGATGTGGAGATTGTAGTCGCACATCAGTGAGCTGTGCAGAGACTGTTCTCAGGTCTTCCCCCTGAGCCTCTGCCCTCTTTCTCTAGCTGTCCAGGATGTACCCCAATATGGAGCTAGAGCTTGAGACAACACCTGAATCAGCTCCATTCCTGACGTTCACCCCTGGGAATGTGACCCTCATGCCGGTGATAGACATCCAGGCCTTTGTTCTCCTGCCTACCTCCTCCGACCGCAAGCTACTCTTCCGGCTCAGGGTGGTAAGTCTGATCTCCTGACAGAGCAGCAAAGTTACATCTACTGTGGGGTAAGCCCCTCCCTTCACTGAAGGACTGGGAGGCTGAAGGATGCTGGAGGCTGCTTCTGTCTGCCTGGAACGGGAGGGAACCTTGCATTCCCGGCCACAACAGCCAGGCTTCCCAAGGGTGCTCTTCACCAAATCATACACTGTGAGAGTTGCAAGAAACCTTAAAAGTCGGGGCATCTGCATGGTTCACTGGGTTAAGCCTCTGCCTTCAGCTCAGGTCATGGTCTCAGGTTCCTGGGATCGAGCCCCGCATCGGGCTCTCTGCTTGGCAGGGAGCCTGCTTCCTCTTCTCTCTCTGCCTCCCTCTCTGCCGACTTGTGATCTCTCTCTCTCTGTGTCAAATAAATAAATAAAATCTTTAAAAAAAAAAAAAAGAAACCTTAAAAGTCATTCACTCCAGCTAAGCTGGACGATTTTAGCTTATTCACTGCTACATTTGCTATAAAAATGGGCTCAATCTAAAGCATCACTCTTTTGAAATTGTTATAAATAAAATCATTAAATCATGTTTCAAAAGAAAGTATAAGATGTAAAGAACTCTTAGGACGGCAATACTCTCCAAATTGATTTACACATTCAACACAATCCCTATCGAAATTTCAGCTGTTTTTTGTTTTGTTTTGTTTTGTTTTGTTTGACGAGCCAGTCCTAAAATGTATATGTAAATTCAAGGGACCCAGAAGAGCCAAAACAATTTTCAAGAAGAAAAACGAGTTGTAGAACTCATTGTTCCCTGTTTCAAAACTTACTATTAAGGCTATAGTAATCAAGACAGTGTGATACTGGTACAAGGATAGACATACAGATCAACAGACTAGAACTGAGAATACATGAATAAATCACCATATTTTTAGACAACTGATTTTCAGCAAGGGGACCAACACAATTCAATGGGGAGGAATAAGCTTTTAAGAAATGGTGCTGGGGCAACAGGATATTCACATGCAGAAGAATAAAGCCAGACCCCTTTCTTATGCATACACAAAAATTGACTCCCAAGTGGACCCGAGCCCCAGATGTGAAAGCTAAAACCACAAAACTCTCAGAAAAAAACCCACAGTATTAAATCTTCATGACCTTGGGTTAGGCAAAGCCCTCTTAGATACAACTCAGAAGCATGAACAAAATAAATTAAAAATGGATAAATTGGATGTCACCAAAGTTAAAAACTTCATGCTTCCAAGGACATAATTCAGGAAAGTGAACAGATAACCCAAAGAAGGAGAGAAAATATTTTTAAATCGTATGTACGAGAAGGGACTTGTATACAGAATAAATAAAGAACTCTTACAACTCAGTCAAGAAAAAGACAGTTTAATTTCAAAATGGGCAAAACACTTCCTCCTCTGGGAAGATTGAGTAGATGTCCATTGTCCTCCCTACTCCTGCTGAGTCCAACCCAAAATCTTATACATTGCATATAAAATAAATAAGAAAACTCTAAAAGGCAGAGAGAAAAATGTAGATCAGCAAGAGGCTTCCAGATCTAAGGAATAATATGATGATGATGAGCTCCCTGGGGTTTCTTTTTGCCCTGAATATTCTAATTTGGGGCAACCCAGAATTACCAACAGGCATGAACAAGAAAGAGCTCAAATAACCTCCTCTCTCTCTAGCCAGAGGACCCAAACGGGAGAAGCCTGGTAAGATAGAAAACTTGTAAACGATCAATAACTGTGGTACTAAAGCCAAACACCAGAGAAAAAGCTATGGCCCTAACCCCACCCAGGCCAGTAAAGGCTGACTGGGGATTCAACCCTTAGACTGGCATGAGGTTGTAACAATAGCCCCGACGTCCTTGCTGGGGGGTGTCAGTGGAAGACAGAAAAGAACAAATGAATTAAGATATAGAACAATAGAAATTACCCAAATTCAATCATCTGGTTCAACCGCACCCCTCGACAGGCCAGGCTTCATTCTCACACCCAGCTGAGTGGTGGTGTATTTAAAGGTCCCTAGGGGTGGTGTTAGTGGTGTATTTAAAGGTCCCTAGGGCTTGGGGACTCTCTGAACTTCTCTTAGTAGCCTGCTTCAAAGCTCAGCCACACTTGCTGGGGGACGGTCTCTCTATCCGAATGCTCTGTGTCTTTAGCTTGGGCTTATTTGCCCTTCTCAATGCTTCCATTAAGACCTCTAAAACCTCAGCTCACCTTTCCTAAAGTCAGCTGTGGAGCCGCCAACATCCTACAGCCTCAGCGCATAATCCTTGGGTAGCTGCTTTTCGCCCACATGTCCCACATCTGGCTGTGGTTTCTGTTTCTGAAGATTTGTCTCCCGGACTGAGAGACAGCAGGATTTCTACATCACCTGAGAGTCTGGGGTATCCCCTTCTGCTTTTCTAGACAACCAACATCTCCGCCACCATCAGTGCGAACTCTGACAGGATTGTTGGTTCAGTGACCACAGGAAGGTAAGAGGCCACGGGCAAGGGGAGGAAATGCGGTAGGCTGGGGATAACCCAGCAATGACCAGAGGATCTAGTCTGTTCACTGATAGGGCTGGCTTTGACCCCTTGGGGACAGAGATCTCCAGTGGGGCTGGCTTATCCTCTATTCTGGGTGCCCCTTCAGAAAGGCCTGTTGACAATGCCTCAGTGGGAAACCCGGAAGACGGACAAGTTAGCACATAGCACAGGTGACATTCAGGACCCCATTCACTCTTAGGTCTCAGTGGAGGAGCTGAACTTCTCCAAAGGGATTACTCAGGAGCCATAATCAAGTTGGAAGATGTGGGGCTTTGCAAGGACTTTATATGTAAGATTAAGAAAAACTGTCAGTACTTCACATGAAGAAGGGAGGGGATTTTGGATGGAGAATTAAAGGTGCCCACGAGCCACTCCTTGCCGTTGCTCTGTCCAGATACCCAGTAGGCACAGACTCACTCAACCAGGAAGCCAGTGAGCAGGAGGGACTATACCACCAGCAGAGACTGGCACTTGCCCTGGTGGTGTCCTTCTCTGGGGCCCTCACCTGTGCCCCATGTCTCACCCACTCCGCATGCTGCCCCCCGGCTGAGGAGCAGGTCCACTGGGCGCATCAGAGGAACTAATTCCTGGCCTCGGGGTTAGATACCTGTTGGCTGAGAGAGTGCACTGACTCCATCAGAAAGAACTTCTCCTTAAGAGGTCTTTAAAAAAGAAGCTAATGGTGAGCATGTGGGCATTTTTGGAGGTCCCAGATCTTGAGTTTATGCCTCAGCCTGGCTTGGGGGGTCTGTAGCACCCAAGAGGACAGCCAATGGCCTTGGACTTTGGAGAGACAGCAAAGTAGGAGGACCTCACACAGGGGTTTTATCAAGGAATTTAGCAAAACTACTCTGCCCCAAGAGCAGAAAGCAAAAGATAGGTCCAGGGCAGTTAGAATCCCTGAACAAGGGAGCCGGGCCAGCAGCCAAAATCAGTGGGGGGAATTGGGGTTTGGCTTCTATAGTGATAACACCAGAGGATCCCTGAGTCGCTCTGCCGTCCTTCCCTCTGCTGTTTGCCAGCCTCACGCAGGTGCCTCTCCCTCCCACTGTTACTGTCTATTCCCACATTATGCAAATAATGCATGCTCCTGGCATGGAAATTGCAAAAGTGTTTTTTTAAAAAATCCCCCATAACCCTGCCACAGAGAGACTGTCACTACTGATAGTTTCACGTTTCCTCCCAGTCTTTTTTTCAATACACTTTTACATCATTGGACGTACAGACCACATCCTTTTAGCGTCCCATTTTTTTCCAGTTATTATTTATAGCATCCTCATTTATTTAAGGTATTGAAGATGCTCTGCCACCATAATTTGCAACCCTGTCACCTGTTCTTAAACCACTGTGCATGCTGAAAGCCTGAAATGCACAGGCACCACCTTGGAGGAGAACCCTTGGGCTGGCTATTGGCCCCCAGAAATGGTCCTGCCCATGAGCACTGCACTCCCCACCAGGGGAACTGCGAGGAAGTAGCAGCCACCGCTCGGGGTGACCCGTGCTTCTCTTTCTCCTTGCAGTAAGCTGAAATTGGAACTGAAACATTCCAACGTCCGTTTCATCAACGTGAGTGGTTTTCTCCTAGCACCTCTTGGGTATCTTCTTCAAGGGGGGCTTTAGGGGGCTCCAGGAGAAGTGCCAAGGCCCCCTCCCTCGAGAAGACGGCGCTGCAGTCTTACAGGAAGTGGACACCATGTCTGAAAGTTAATCATCTAAGAAGGGCACTGCCTGAGGGCTAACGGGGAGACAGGACATGGACAGGAAGAGCACAAGCTTTGAAGGAAGATAGAGCTGGGCTCTTACACCAGCCGTGCCACTTGTTACTGTGTGACCTTGAGAAAATAGCTTAACCTCTCTGAGCCTCAGTTTCCTTGACTGTAAAATGGGGAATACACAATAGCTACTTCAACCACGTCAAATGGGAACTAGAACATGAAACAGGGCAATGGGTTTAGGAAGACACTTTGGCAAAACTCTTCACACACGTAGTAAACTCTCAGTATGTGCTCACTATTGTAATAATAGTGGCATGGGAGCACAGTGCCTTACCCAAAGCCCGCAGGGCTGGTAAGCTTCAGAATTGAGATTTTATGAGAGGTAATTTGGAGGAGGCACCATAGGTGATGGAACTCTTCCAGCGGGATCTGGGACGGCACTCTATAATCAGACGCATTAATGCTTCGGCAACAGAATTTTAAAATATCCACACAAAGGGGAATAAAGAAACACTAAATTTCCCCACAGTGGTTCGGGTCAGGTTTTGCCATAGAATGAGCTGGTACATACCGATGGGGAATGAAATCCAGAGATGGGAGTTGAGGAGATGACGAATAAGGAGCTCTCTGTAGTGTGACAGTCACAGTCAACCCGTTCTGTAAGTGGGATGGCGTGTCGGTATTTCTGGAGGCTGGGGGCCAGCGAGACGTTCTTCCCTCAGACTCCTGTTCTCATTCATGTCTTGTTTGCTCCCCTCTTTGCTCCCCTCGCCCCCAACTCCAGGTGGAGCTGATGGAAGCCATCCTCAATTACTACGCGCTCCACACCATGTACCCCTCTCTCAACGGTAAGAATAAACTGCTCCTGGGGCGCCTGGGAGGCTCCATAGGTTCAGTGTCTGACTCTCGGTTTCAGCTCAGGTCATGGTCTCGGGGTCCTGGGATGGAGACCCGCACTGGGCTCTGCGCTTAGGCATGAGTCTGCTTGGGATTCGTTCTCTCCCTCTCCCTTTGCCCCTCCCTTGTTCAAATGCGCATGCACGCTCTGTGTGTGTGTGTCTGCGTGTGTGTGTGTGTGTCTCTCTCTCTCTAATAAATAAAATAAAATCTTTAAAAAAAAAAAAAAGAACAGCTGCTACTGACTGCCCCATGCAAATGTTAAATGCTACCCTTTCTGTAGGATTCACGATCAGTCAGTCATTCAACAAGCTGAGCCCCTCTTCTGCGCTGGCTGGGGTCCTGGCTATCCGTGAGCCTGCCCTCATGGAGCTTACACTCTGTTGGGAAGGGAGACGTGTAACAGGCAGTGACAACCAGTGCGATAAATGCTGTGACCGGAAGCACAGAGGGCTGCGGGAGCTAGCTGGGAGGGGGCACTGAATGTGACTTCCAGGAGGCAAGAGTCAAGTTGAGTCCCAAAGCACAGGGAGTTAGGCCAAGGGAGGAGGGGCATTCCAAGCCGCACCTAGAGTTAGCACCCCTGGGTTTTGGTCCAGGTTAGATCACTGACTGGCCAGGTGAGCTCGATGGAAATAGGGCTTGGCACAGTGGCTGTCTGAGAACCCAGCTGGCCTCCTCCCATGCCAGGACCCTCTCTGGCCAACCTCACCATCTGCCTTTTACCACCATGAGAGAAGAGCAGGGCAGCTGTCCTGGAAAAGAGAAAGGGGAGGAGACGCTGGTCCTCAAGGATGAGTCCCTGGTCAGAAGCATGGCATGCTCCATCCCAGGAGCCATTGGCTGGGAAAGGCTGTCTACATCTGTCCCCTCCTGAAGAAGCTGCATTTACCAGGCATTTACATCTCCGTGCCCACCGCCAACAGAAAACCAACCCTGAATCCAATAGCTGACCACATTTTGAAGTAGCCCGTCCTCTCACTGGCCAGTGGCAAATGCCGTGTGTGTCCATGCCTCCCCAGCCTTCCCCATCCAGCCTGTGTCTCTCTGCTCTTATCTTCCAGCAAAGCTTGAGAAGGGCTTCCCTCTCCCTCTGCCGAGGGACACCCACCTCAACAGTTTGGAGCTCCAAGTCCACGAGGTCAGTGAGAAGTGGCGTCTGAGTGGGGGAGCTCTAAGACCTCCTGGGAGGGCTGTTTCGGGGCTGGTAGAATTAGGGGGAGCCCTTGACTCCTACTCACATCCTGAACCTAGTGTTTATAGGAGAAAATATTTTTGTTTCGAATTTTGGAGTACAGAGGGCAAGTACATTGATTGTGTGGAATCCTGACTTCCACATGAGCTCAGTTTCCTGTAATTCAGTCCCAATGTGTCAGCTGAACATCAGCAACGGGCAGGGCCCATTAGCCATGTATGGCAGGAAGGGGTCAGATTAGATGCTCCACTTTGGGGTTAATGAGAGTCTCCACGGGGCCACGGGCCAGCCTTGATCCCTGCCGTGGCAGCCAAGGATGATCCTGGAGCAAAATCGACCAGGACTTTTAGGGCAAGAAGCACATCAGGAGCAGGGACAGGGACAGTGACAGCTCACTCTGTAACTCCAGAGGTACCAACGTCTTCACTGTTCATAATTTGTTCTCATGTAATCCTGAACCACATCCGCTTAAACTAATTGTGTGCGGAGAGTGAATTCAGGCGGCACCCACACATGCATTGTTCTCCTGGGAGAAAAAAGCTTTTGGAGGACAGTGACATTCTTGTGTGCCTTCCAAATCACGATACTGGGAAATGCAAATAAATTCCCAGGGTCAGGCAGCTAGGAGGGACAGTGTTTTCTAAAGGCCTCCCAGGCCAAAAGGCCTGGTTTTTGCCCTGATCTGGCTTTCGGGTCAAGTGAGAACTTGCCTCTCCCACTGAAGGGTTCTCTTTCAGGAAGCTCCTAACCTCTGGCACGCAGAAAATGAGCTTTCTTGTCTGTCCTTTTTGCCTTCTCTCCAGAACTTCTTGCTCTTGGGGGCCAACCTTGATTAGGCTGAGCACTGAGGAAGGAGCAGCCGTGGCTAGAGGAGTGGACGGAACCACAGCAGGGCTTAGTCCTGCCCCTGTGGGGGTCTGGAGGCTGCAGCCTCTCTGCCTCTACTCCCCATGAGGGTCTCCTCCAAATGGACACTCATCACTGGGGAGTCTGGGACACCTGAAGACAACCTGACCATAGGACACGTCCCCCAACTTTCTTCTCCTCCTCCCTGTGCCTCTTCCTGTCCCCTTTACCGCTGTCCTTAGCCTTACTCTGGGCAGCCGCTAGAAAAAACTTCAGTGAGCGGTGTCCAGTCACCACAAAGCTCAAAGCACCCTGCTCAGCATTAAACATGAACTAAGTTGTACGTGTCCTTTGACGCTGTGGTTACAGGAACAGAAGTGAGACAATGTGGACTTAAAGCCTTGTGTCGCCACTTCCTTGGTGTATAATATTTATCGAGATGGGAGTACAGACTACGCAGCCACTGTATGAGCTCTACATTTATTCAACAAACCTTGATTTCAATTTGCTAATGAGTGTCCTGAACTGATTTCTGTGTCTGGGCTTGGTGCTGTGGGAGGAGGGGCGTCCAAGAGAGGAAAACACACGGTTTCTGTCTTCGCCAAGCTTATAGCCAGAAACAGGGGTTGGAAGACTTTTTCTATGAAGGGCCAGAGAGCAAACCTTTTAAGCTTTGACCACACATCCGGTCTCTGTCCCGACTACTCATCATGGCCACTGTAACAGAGAACAGCCAGACAGCAAGCGAGTGGGCGTAGCTATGTTCCAATAAAACTTTATTTACAAAAAAGGCAACAGGCCAGATCTAAGTGGGGAGCCATGATGCACCCACTTGTGGTCTAAAAGAATAATCCACCATCCAACCGATAGGATTTATACCATGAACACAAGTCTGGGTTTCCATCAGGAGATGTGCTAACATATCCTACTGGTCATAAGAGCACAGGCTGGAGCGCAGGCTGGCCTGCTTTCAAATCGTGGCTCCCCTTCCTTGGCTCTCAGCAATTTACGAAATCTCTCTTAACCCCCAGAATCCTGGAAAACAGCAGGAGCTGTGGCCAATGACCATGCTACCTGAAGCCCCCTGCTCCCCCTTAAACATGTCAAATGACTAAACTGTACGTGTCATTTAACGTCAGGACATGAGGAAGATGAGAGACTGAAATAAATCATGTGCAAAGTCCTCAGGACGATTGTTGGCCCGTAATGCACCAGATCAATAAGCTAGAGCTGTCATCACCATCTCCCCTCCTCATTGTCTACTCCTTCATATACTACGAGTACGATGACACACTTTCAAATTTTCAAAAAAAAATCTGTCTTGCACCATCAACCAAAATCGTACCTATGATGAGATCACAGAGGTGTTGTGTTTTTATCTTGGAAGGCCCAGGAAATGATTCAGGATGGTCTGATGACCTTGTCCAGGAAAACCCAAGGTGTCTAGAAGTGAAGATGTGACAGTCGGCCAAGACGGTGAAAGATAATGAACGGAAATGAAATTTTATTCTGGAATGTTCGGTTAATTAGCAGTTATGAATTTCCCTGTAGATTATTCTAGCTCCTCTGCTGCCCTAATCATTGGCTATTTGAGAGTGACTATACAAACTGTCCACCCTCCCGCTCTGCTCCTTCCTTCTCTGCTTCTGCAACCTCACACCCATTCTTCTTCCTTCTGGGAAGCATAGTGCTAGGATTACCCCAGAGGCATGCCTGCGCCCATCTTCCCCTGTGGGTGTGCAGGGTTGCCACGTACGGACACTCAGGCTAGGCACTGTATAGCTCTTGGGAGTGCCATTTACATCGATACAGAGCATTGTCTTTGTCTGTAATCGAGATGCAGAGATGGTGAGACAGGCTACAGAAATGGCTTGATTTAAACCAAGGTTTTTCAACCTCAGCATGAACATTTTAGGCCAGATCATTCTTTGTTGTGAGGGGCCATCCTTTTACATTGTAGGATGTTTAGCAGCTCCCAGGCCTCTACCCAACAATGGTGCCCAGCACAAATGTGTCCAGACATGGCCAAAAGCCCCCTGCGGTTGATAAAACAGCGCCATGTTGAGGACCACAAAGGAAAGGATGTTCTCCCAACATATCCTACTCTGGTGAAAGCCCATGTTAGCGCATCCTAGCAGAAGACAGAAAGTTCCAACCTCACCCCAAGTGGCTGGTCTCACTAATAAAGCCACTGGAGAGCATCTGAAGGGCAAAGCTCTTGTGGATTTTTCTAGCCCCAAGAGGTATCCTAAGTAGAAGATAGCCAAACTTGCTGAGGGCCAAATGTGTGCCAGGCTAAACAGAAATCTAGTTTTATTAGTGTGGGAGCTCTCCAGAAAGCACAGCCCTGGACCACAATGTTTGCGCCACGGAAGCATAGAAAGTCCAAAGACATCTGGAGATTTTTTGTCAAAGCTTTATTCATAAAACTGAGCTTTTCATTTGGTGGGTGGGCGGGGGTTGGGGGGAGCTGTCTGCCTTGATTGGGGAGAACACTTCCTGTTACAGAGATGCCCCAACAGTTGTTGGGATACTGACAGCAAAGCAAAGACAGCAACCAGATGTAAAGTCTGGTTCCTTCAATACCACCTATGAGTATCAGGTATGCATCTTATGCCACAAAACTAGGGTGGGAAAAGATCTCATTTTGTTATGTTGGCTAAATTAAGTATAATTTCCTCTGTGCCATTTATTGAACTATTAGGAAATTCCTCCCCCATTGTTGCTGGATATCCTTATTCCTTCAGAGACATGTAAAGGTCCTGGGGTATTCCCTAGTCCCAAACACTGGGGAGCCCCATTGGTGTCCAGCCTAGTCTTGCGTGCTGCTAAGTTCCCTGTCCAGTGAGCCAGCATTGTCCCCTGAAGGCAGGAAGCCCTACCTTTGGTGCCAGGGTTGGGCAAAAGGTTTTGTGCCCAAGATCATTTCCTCTGGCTCCTCCATCAGAAGTCTGTCACCATCCTTCCCCTGTCACCAAGAAGGCAGCTTTGTGAGGGGTCTGGTCATTGCCATGCGAAGAAGCCCACCCCCTTCCAAGATGATGGTTTGACTTTTCTGACCTGACCACTTCTGCCGCCCCTGACTCTGACTTTCAACCCTCAATCCTTCTGGGACAATTCAGCAGGAGTCCTCCTGAATGCCCGTGGGTGACCCATCTTCCTTCTCCACCTTCATTCCTGTGGGACCTTTCTGAAGCTTGGCCAGTCTCTGGGCTCCCTTGTCAAGCCTATGTTAACAGCCCATTCAGGATTTCCCCAACTTGCTATCACAATGCTGGAGCTAATTTTCAGCTGACATCTGTGACCAAAAATTGACATTCACTTGTATTTTAAGAGCTTGGCCTGTCACCTGGATCTCTGGTTTACTGTAATGGACTGCAGTTCTGAATAAGCTGAGGCCTCCCGTGTGTGGTGTTCGGAGCTGTATCCCCAACACCTCCAGCAGCAGCCAACACGAGTGCATGTTCCACAGTCAGCATGTGACACGTTATCTACAGACCTTCCAGGCATACCCTAAGGGCACAAATTATCCTATTTCCCATTATACCCCTACTTCTAGCAAGGTGTCTGGCTCATAAATAAATGCTCTTCCTTTTAATAAATGGACCTCCACTCTGACCAGCTCTCCTAGTCCCAGCTCTTAATTCTGCTATGGAAATCTCCCATTCCCAGGTCCACCGGACCCTCCAGGAAGCTTGCACATTTCCCAGCAATGATCACAGCTCCCTGATGTTAAGCCCTGTTCCTGAGTCACGGTGGTCGTCTCAGATTTCCTCAGGCTCTCAAGACTTAGCATAGCTTGTGCTTCCCATGCCGCAGTGTAAGGCGGGCATGATCTGTGCCCGGTGGGACATGCCAAGTGTCTCCACATACGCTTTTTAAGTACTGGCCCACGTTCCGCTGCTGCCCCTCCACAGCCGCAAACATTACCAACCAGTCACAGCTTTCTCAAGTGGACCCAGATCCTTCCCTTGGCATCTTTTCAACTACACCAAGCTGACTAAAGGTGGCAAAAAAACAAACAAAAGAAAGTCAGAACAGTCCACAGGGAAGTCAGAAAAAAAGACTTGACTTCTGGATGCCTGTATCAGGAACTGGCTGGCAGAGTGAACACTTCGGCCATGAAAAACACCTGCCCCCGCAGAGGAGCCCATCCAGGTGTCAACTCATCATATCAAGTTCAATTTCAAATACAGAAACTGGACAATGAACTCCAGCCTTTCATCACGGCCTTTGGGACCTGTTTCCTCATGGAGACCCGTCCATCTGTAACGTGGGAATTAAAAAGTTCACACATGCACATCCTTAGACCAGCCTCACGTGATTGCAATTACTGATTTACCCCAATTATCTTCAAAAGCCCAGCCGAGGATACCCACAAGGTCCACCAATGGCAACGCTCCATGTTCACCCTTCTTCCTCTCACCTTTATTCCGTAACCTGTCCGCTCAACCTGACATCATGTATTTTACTCCCCAAGTAAACTGACCAACTCGTCCCAGTTTACCCAGGACCTTTCTAGATTTAACAAGTCAGTCCCATGTCCTAGGAAACGCCTCAATCTCAGGCAAACTAGGGCAACTGGCCACAAAAGCAGGCGTTTACTCATGAGCCCGGCCCCAGAACTCTGGCCAACCCGCTTCCTCAATGACATCAGTGCCTACCTCACTCCAGCCCCCTGTCACCAGTCCCCTTCCGAAGCCCTGGCTTCACCGATCCTCAAACCTTCCACTCTTTCATGGGCCTGAATCTGAGCTAGCTACGGACACCTGGTTACCTCCCAGTCCCAAGGCAACACCTCAGACTGTGGCCTGTGTGCCAAGCTGCAGGAGCATGGTAAGAGAGGCTCAGGGGCTGAAAACAAGACTGGCCTATGATCCACTTCTCCACGTCCAACCTCAGTGCACGCAACTTGTTACAGACTTTAAAAGGCAGAAGAGCGAGTCCATAAGGTTTATTGAATGGGTGGCAGAAAGGAAAGTGATGGGCA